ATGCCAGCTGCTAGAAATCCAGGCCACAAAGACCAGAAGACCAAAGAGCAAACAGAAACCAAGGAACAAAAGACTCATCCAACAAAGATAAACTCAGAAATTGGCGCCTAGACCTAAAATCACCCCAACCCAGATGCCGAGACCCCAGTGTAAGAAGAAATCAACAATAGGCAGGGCAATAAGTTACTAGGAAATAGCCCAGTTATCCTACTACAGCAATCCCTGAATATTCCAACACAGCTGAAGCACAGGGGAAAAAAAAAACCTTACAACCAGTTATATGAAGATGATAGAGATCCTTAAAGAGGAAATGAATAAATCCTTCAAAGAAAGCCAGAAGAACACAAACAATTGGAGAAAAGGAATAAATCTCTTAAAGAAAGCCAAGAAAAAACAAACATTTGAAAGAGACAAATAGAACTGTTTAAGACCTGAAAATAGAAATAAAAGCAAGAAAGAAAACACAAACTGAGGGAATTCAGGAAATGAAAAATCTAGGTAAGCGAACAGGAACTATAGACACAGACAACACCAACAGAATACAAGAGACGGAAGAGAGAATCTCAGGTGCTGAAGATCTGATATAAGAAATAAATATATCCTTCAAAGAAAAATGCTAAAACAAAAAATTCCTAACAGAAAATATCCAGGAAATCTGTGACACTATGAAAAGACCAAACCTAAAAATAATAGGAATAGAAGAAGGAGAAGAATCCCAGTTCAAAGACATAGAAAATAATTTCAACAAAATCATAGAAGAAAATTTTCCCAACCTAAAGAAGAACATGCCCATAAAAGGTACAAAAAGCTTACAGAACACCAAATAGGCTGGACCAGAAAAGAAAGTCCCCTTACCACATAATAATCAGAACACTAAACATACAGAATAAAAAAAGGATATTAAGAGCTGCAAGAGGAAAAGGTCAAGTAACATATAAAGGTAGACCTATTGAATTACACCGGACTTCTCAACAGAGACTCTAAAAGTCATAAGGGCCTGGACTGATGTGCTCTAGACTCTTAAGAGACCACAGATGCCAGCCCAGACTACTACACCCAGCAACACTTTCCATCACCATAGATGGAGAAAACAAAGTATTCCATGACAAAGTCAAATTTAAACAATATCTATCCACAAATCCAGCACTACAGAAGGTACTAGAAGGGAAACTCCAACCCAAGGAGGTTAACTACACCCATGAAAACACAGGAAATAAAGAATCTCACACCAGAAAAACCAAAGAAAGAAAACACATACACACATAAACTCTCTCTCTCTCTCTCTCTCTCTCTCTCTCTCTCTCTCTCTCTCTCTCTCTCTCTCTCTCTCCCAGCACCAGCAATAACAACAAAATAACAGGAATTGACAATCACTGGCCATTAATATCTCTCAATATCAATGGACTCAATTCCTCCCTCCAAAAGATACAGGCTTACAGAACAGATGTGAAAACAGGATCCATCCTTACAGGATCCATCCTTCTGCTACATAAAAGAAATACACCTCAACATCAAAGATAGACATTACCTCAGAGTGAATGGTTAAAAAAAGATTTTTCAAGCCAATGGACCCAAGAAGCAACTGGTATAGATATTCTAATATCTAACAAAATAGACTTCAAACAAAAATTAGTAAAAAAAAAAAATGGGAAAGGACACTTCATACTCATCAAAGGAAAAAAATCTACCAAGATGACATTTTAATTCTTAACATCTATGCCCCAAATGCAAGGGCACCAACATTTGTAAAAGAAACATTAACAAAACTTAAATAACACACTGACCTTCACACACCAATAGTGGAAGACTACTATCACCAATACCCCACTCTCACTAGTAGACAGATCATCCAGACAAAAACTAAACAGAGAAATACTGGAACTAACATACATTATAAACCAAATGGACCTAACAGGTATCTACAGAATATTTCACCCAAATACTAAAGAATATACCTTCTTCTTAGCACCTCACAGAACTTCCTCTAAAACTGATCACATACTCGGTCACAAAGTAAGGCTCAACAGATACAAGAAAATTAAAATGCCCCACTGTATTCTATCAGACCACCAGAGATTTAAGACTTTTTGGACACAATGAAAGTGATGCTCAAAGAAAAATTCATAGCACTATGTGTCTACATAAAGAAATTGGAGAGATTGCATACTAACAACTAAACCACACACCTCAAAGCACTAAAACAAGAAGCAAGTGCACTCAAGAGGAATAGACAGCAGGAAATAAACTGAGGGCTGACATCAATAAAATAGAAACAAAGAAAACAATGCAAAGAATCAATGAAACAGAGTTGGTTCTTTAAGAAAATCAACAAGATAAACTAACTAAAAGATAAGAGAGAATATCCAAATTAACAAAAACCAGAAACAAAAGGGGGACTATAACAATTGATACCACACCAAGGAAATCAAGAGAATCATTAGGTCATACTTTTAAAAATTGTATTCCACAAGATAGGAAAATCTAAAAGAAATGGACAATTTTTCTCAAAAGATACCGCTTACCAAAGTTAAATCATGATCAGATAAGCAATTTAAATAGTCCTATAGTCCCAAAGGAAATACAAACAGTCATTAAAAGTCTCCCAAACAAAAAAAGGCCAGGACCAGACAGTTTTAGTGCAGAATTCTAACAGACCTTCAAAGAAGAGCTAATGCCAATACTCCTCAAATTATTCCACAAAATAGAAACAGAAGGAACATTGTCAAATTCATTTTATGAAGTCAGTCACCCTGAAACCTGTATCACACAAAAACTCAACAAAGAAGAGAATTACAGACCAATTTCCCTCATGAACCACTGATGCAAAAATAATCAATAAAATACTCACAAACTGAATCCAAGAACACATCAAAAAGATCATTTATCATGATCAAGTAGGCTTCATCCCAGAGATGTAGGGATGGTTCAACATACAAAAATCTGTCAATATAATACACCATAAAAAACTAACTGAAAGAAAAAAAACACATGATCATCTCATTAGATGCTGGATAAGTCTTTGACAAAATGCAACACCACTTCATGATAAAAGTCTTGGAGAGATCAGCAACACAAGGGTCATACCTAAACATAATAAAGCCTACAGTCAACATCAACTTAAATGCAGAGAAACTCAAAGCAATTCCACTAAAATCAGAAATAAGACAATAAGACTCTCTCTCTCTTGATCTATTCAATACAGTAATTAAAGTTCTAACTAGAACAATAAGACAACTAAAAGAGATCAAAAGGGTACAAATTTGAAAGAAAGAAGTCCAAGTATTGCTATTTGCAGATGATATGACAGCTGTCCAAGGGAGAAGAGGACCATGTACAGAACTCATCTTCCAGTTTTCATTAGAATCCATCTAGTTTTATGCATTAAATTAGTTAACAGTTAAAATAACACTACTTAGTAACTAACTGATGTTTTAAAAACAAACAAAACAAAAACTAGAGTGCAGGTCAAATAAAACACATTTAGGGACCAAATCTGGTTCCAGGTGTCATACCCAGGAGTCTCTACCTTACATGTTTTGTTTGCTTCCTAAGTCCATTCCTCCCTTGCATGTTACCTGACCTGGTCCTAGTAGAGATATCTGCCTACTTGACCTAGGAAACAGGCAGTGCTAGCAGTAGGAACCAGAATGGAGTTAGCTTCTCAGGACCAGGGAGTGCTCTTTGTCATGAGCTAGTGTGGTAGATATAGAGGAGCTACAAATTCTCAGGAGCTCAAGACTGAGGAGGTGTACCTTTCTAGATTCAGATCTGAAGTCTTGGGTGCCCCAAATTTCTCGCATCCTTCATGTATACATGAAGGGAGCACAAATGGATTAGAGTAGTTATAATTATCTTTCAGTGTGTTCTAGCCTATAAAACATTAAAGTTTCCCAGAAACCTGAAAACGTTTTTGAAAGCAATTTTGTGAAAACATTTACAAAAAAGGTGACTTTGTTTTAAACCTTCAAATTACAGGCACAATAGTTCAGAGACTGATGACATTAACTCTATTCTAGTACATCATACTGCTACTTAGTACCTTACTGTGTTCACTGGCAATGAGCATGTACTGATGTAGTATGAATTCTAATTGGTCATAAAAAAAAAAACAAAAAAAAAAAACCCAGAGCCAGATACTGGGGTAAATGCTGAAAGATCAGAGAAACAAAGGAGCAAGCCACGGTCACCTCTTACCTCACCAACTCCTCAGCTGAAAAGGGGCCAAGCTCCTGTCTCCACCCACCTTACATTCCTCTTTCCACCCAGCCATATGACTTCCAGTTTCCTCCTCCCTAGTGCTGGGATTAAAGGCATGTGCCTCCCAAGTATTGAGATCAAAGGCATGAGATCCCAAGTGCTGGGATTAAAGGTGTGTGCCACCACTGCCTGGCCTCTATGGTTAACTAGTGGCTAGCTTCACACTCTCATCTCCAGGCAAGCTTTACTTGTTAGAGCACAAACAAAATATCACCACATACCAGAGTTCAGACCTATTTGATGCAGCATAGGTGCTAATGGCTGCTTCTGACAAATGGCAGGAAATACTCAGTGCACTGCCAAGATATACTCTGACCAGGGAGGAGATAAAAGCACAGAGATGCATTCTGGTTCACTAGTGCTGAGAACATGCAATATTAGCCAACACTAAATTTGGAAAGTTTATAGCAAGGGGCTGCACCAGTCACAGATATGTGTGGGGAGAAAAACATATGCACAAGGAAGATAGGTGCTAAGGCTGGGAAGCAAACACAGATCTGTCACCAGAAAAGCAAGTAACTGCCCAATTTAACTAACTAAAACATTAAAATGCACGGTACGACTTCAAATTTCAACTTAATACTGGAGAACAGTATGCGAACAACTACCTCATACACATGACTCTGACTCCTAGAATGATCCTGTAGGACTGAGGCTGTGTTACTGCATATGTGGGAGGTTATTAAATGCTTCTTAATGATTATGTTAAAGGTCATATTCCTCATACACATAACCTCACTTACTATTACGAGTTAGACATGTACATGGGCAGACAATGGTCTTCTTCCATTAAATGCAAACTGGCTGGAATTACTGCTGAAGTTGCCAGGCTGTAAGGAAAAAGAGATCAAATTAATGAGGATGAGGTTGTATAATCAGTTTATGATAAAAAACTGTGCTGGGGTCAAGGCTGATATCACCAACTCCCACATACCCAAGTATACTTTAAAATGTGACTCCTCTCCTTTTCTCATACTACCACAAACTCTAAGGCAAGCTGTTTCTTACTTCTCTTCCATTCAAATATACTTGAAAAATCAATTTATTTTAGCAAACTCCAATTTGATCATGCCACCCACTGCACAAACCTCTGAGGGCTGACTCCCTACTGCTAGAGGGACAGAGATCCACCTCCTTGGCAGGGCATTCTTGGCTCTCCTAAGTTTGGCCAATACTTCAAATCCACGAGTTTTCAATCTTAGCTGGATATAAAAACTAGTAGGGGAGTTTTAAAAAATAAACAGGTTGGTAGCCCATGCCCCAGAAACTACTGAAGTTCTGAGATAAGATTCTGAGACTTGTAGCTTTAAGAAATCTGGGTGACACTTGAACTGCCAAGACTGAAGCACTTATCTAATTTCCCACCTATTACTCGACCCAACACAACCTAACTCTTGTGTTCCAGACAGTGGTGGCAGCTTGCTTGCCTGTAGCCCTCTAGTCAGGCAGACTGTCCCCAAGACTATCATTCCTTCCCTAACTCTAGTCACAGCTCCTCCATTCTTCTGAAACCCAGTGAACCCCTACCACTATCTTTAGAAACAAGGCAATCACAATGGGATTGCAATTCTGGGCATCCCAAACCCACTAATTTCCTCTGTAAATTATTTTATGGCAATGACACTCTCACTGGAGATGCTTCTTTAACACCTTGAGCCCTGTGTTTCTCTAGCATCTTTTGTTCACATTTCCTAGCCTCTAGCTTTAACAACAATATTAAGCATAAATCAGGTACTCATGTGCACAACACTTAATGATCACTGAATAAATTAAATTCTCTTAAATTTTATGAAGTGATTTTTCTTATACCTGACAACCTAAGCTGTCAACCTTGAGGGTTGTTTATGCACACAGTGACATGTTTTTCACTAGAAGCATCATTATACCCATGTAGAAATGATAATCACCTGTTCACAAAACCTGACGTGATGTCAAATATCTATTAATGTGTTTTCCTTATAGATAGAATGATTTCCATGTTTATGTATTTTCCATGCATATGTATTATGCTATGTGTGGATGAGCAGAAAGGGACAGTAAAACAGCTCTTCTTCTCTCTACACCTGCTTTAAAAGGCCCTCCCAAGCAAAGGGACAGCCAAGCCCATCCTAATCCACCATGGGGAGGACCAGAGAGCCAGAGTGCTTCTCCCTCAGTTTAGGGAAGTGGTTCTCAACCTTCCTAATGATGTGAAATGATGTGACCCTTTAATACAGTTCCTTATGTGTGGTGACCCCCAACCATAAAGTTATTTTATTGCTACTTCATACCTGTAATTTTATGATTGTTATGAATCATAATGTAAATATCTGATATGCAGGATATCTGATATGTGAGCCCTGTGAAAGGGTCATTCAACTCCCAAGGGGTCATGACCCACGAGTTGAGAACCACTGGTATAGAGTGTCAGGAGCCTATAGGCAAATGTCTATGACACAGTCCCCAAAGCCAAGTTGCACTGGAAGAAGAGTAGCCAGCATGACTACCAAAGCTCTAGCTCAGCCCATAAAGTTCGTGACCCATCTCTAGAGCCTTCCAGACACAGAGGTACAGCTTCTCCACCAAACAGCATAATACAAGGCAGCTGCCTAGAGTTGAAGAAGCACTGGTGCTTATGAATTAAACAGTCCTGGGAGTGCTAGCTGAGAAACTAACCACTATTTATAACATTGTTTTTGTGGAAAATGCCTTCTGCATTCCAAACAACAGATCAAACATGAACTTCAGGGATAAGTTGAAGTCTGAGGTTGGAACTGACTGTATTTTGAAATTGCACTATGTTCAGTATTCTCCTAGGCTAAGATAGCAGCCAGGAGAGCATAACAAAAATAACTAGCTGCCGTGAACATGGGTCAGAAGTATCCATGAGAATCAATGCCTGCTTCCTCTGTCCTAAATCCCATGGGTATTAATTTTGTGTTGTGATAAAACATCATACTGATGACAGCTTGTGCAAGAAAGAGTTAATTTTGGCTTATGGTTCCAGGGGGTTAGAGTCCATAGAAGCAAGGTGGAAGCAGGAGGCAGGTATGGAAGCTGGTGCAGGAAGCTGAGAGTTCACTCCTTGAATCACAAGCATAAAGCAGAGAGAGAAAGATTGCAGAGAGAAGGGAGTGAGGGACAAGAACACCCTGAGAATGGTGAGACTTTGAAACCTCAGAGCCTGCTCCTGGTGACATACATCCTCCAACAAGGCCACACCTCCTAGACCTCCCCAAACAGTGGCACCAGCCAGGGTTCCAGTGTTCAAATACATGAACCACTGGGGCGGGGGCATTCTCATTCAAACTACCGTACCATGTAAAACCTCCATGAAGTTTCAGCTTCCAGCTGGAAGCACTGGTTTCTCTCTCTGCTGCCTGTATCTCATGTTTGTATGCCTGTGTTTTACCATGTAGGTTTTTTTGGTGAAGTTTATATCTGCTGTTCCCCATCCTAGGTTAAGTTTACAAATTAAAGATCTTTCCTAATTTTTGTCTCCCACAACATTTACCACAGCCTGAAATCGTGTTCATTGATACTCATTTTGCAAAATAAGAATGTACTTGGATTTCTTCCCATCTTGCCCCAAGTTTGATTTAGCAGAAACCACCACAGGCATTAGAAGAGCAGAAGTATCGTGTATTAAAAATAGCACCACGGATTTAAGAAGTTGCTGACCTACCACTTCCCAAGACAGATTTCATATACAAGAGAACTATAAGGTACTCTGAGAAATTTGAGAGTCATGAAGTGGCAAAGATGTCAATCATCTTTATTCTTTGCTCTGAAGTCTATCTTGAGCTAGGGCTAAGACTTACTTGAAGTAAATTGACTTAGCAAACGTCTTCTAACTTCCAAAACTTTCATATTGGGTGATGCATGACATTCATCTTTATCTGAAAGGAAATGTAATGGAAGTGTTAAAACAGGAAGAATTGATAGGTAGCTTACAGAAACTAATTAGATGATTGTACCTGAAAAGTAATAAAAATTATATGAAGCACTATAAAATTGATATCCGTTATACTATGAGTCAAGTAAGAATCTAAAATAAAACCCTAAGCCCTGCTCAGAGACTTTTAAAGGTGAGCTCTATATTATTCCTCTTCATTTATTTCACTTGCCTGATTTAAAGGGAAGCTTTTGAACTCTAGTCACTGTTCTGGTGAACATGGAGATACCAAGCTGACTTAACAGGCAGTTCCTGTTTTCAAGACTCTCACAAACCTCCAGAGAGACAAGCAAGAAAGAGTCCACTGAGGTAGGTCAGTCAGTTGTACAAATGATAAAAGGCTTCTGGGACTTCAATGACTACAAGAAAATGAGGGGAGGCTCTGCATTCTGGGAAGAAGACAGAGATGGACAACAGGAGGCTAACAGGCAGATAAGGGGGTGGATTTGGGTTGAGATTGTATTTTAAGGAGTTAAATACTAGATTCAGCACATGGGGCTTCGATTTATATCTAAAATAAGCCACAAAGGTTTTAGTTGGAATCATATTCAAGTTTATATTTTCAAAGCATGGCTATGGGGCTAGAGAAACAGCTCAGTGGATAAGAAAATGCACTGCACACACGAGTCTGGATCCCAGCACTCACATAAAAAGCTAGACATGGGCATCCAGGGGTGCCTACAGCTGCAGCATGATGAAGGGCAAAGACAGCTCTGGGGTTGGAATCAAGAGGATACCTGGGTTTGCTGGCTGCTACAGTAGCTCCAGATTCAATAAGAGACCCTGGCTTAAAGGAACAAGGTAGAGAATGACAGAGTAGAATACCTGATGTCTTCCCCTGGCCTCCACATATGTGCCCATAGGCACTCACATACACACCCTACATTTACATGCATACATAAACACACACCTTTTTTTTTTTTTTCTTGAGCTGAGGACCAAACCCAGGGCCTTGTGCTTGCTAGGCAATCACTCTACCACTGAGCTAAATCCCCAACGCCTATACACACCTTCTAAATGCATTTGATTATTTATATACTAGAACACGGATGAGGTATTGGGAGTAGACTCCATAGGCAGGGAATCCTTTTGTTACTGCAGTAGCCAAGAAGAGAAGAAATTGGCACAATGGCAACAGAAGTAAAATGTTAAAAAAAGAGATGTCCTTTAGAGTGGGAACTAGATTAATGACCCATCAATCACCTCAGCCTAAAAACTGGAACCACCATCAACCTTGTCACACAGTGACAAACACTGGTGGATCTGGATGTAATACAGTGTCTTTCTAATCAGAGGCAACTATAACCTTAAGAAATCTGTTCTCGAACATCAGAGCCCAATCTGTGACCAACAGACACATCACACTCATCTGTCTGAAAGGTTAACTTCAGAATGGTCTCTGTGACTGCTTGCACTGCTCTGAGTTAGTGTTTGTTCATCTCATAAATAGTTTATTCATGTGAGGATGGGATTCCACACAAGATTGCTATCTACCAATGAAAGAAAGGCAAAAGAAGGGGTGGGGGGTTGCCCTGCCCTGTTTTGTCTCCTTAGAGAAGAAAGCAGACTGAGATGAACTCAATGGTCGCTTGTGATCAATTTCAGAAAGACAGTGAAATAAAAAGCTTCTATGAATTGGGAAATTTAGAAGAAAGAAGTGGAATTAGTTAATAACGTCTGTGTATTTATGATTATCATCTAAAATCTTTTTTAGGGCAGATACAAATTTAAAAATTATTAAGCTATATTTTAAAATTATTTTTGGTTACCTAATAACCAAATGGTCAGCCCTGAAAATATGCATAGGAGTAGCAGGTTACTGAGCAGGTCCTACTTAGAAAAAAGAAATGTGTATGTGTGTGTGTGTGTGTGTGTGTGTGTGTGTGTGTGTGTGTGTGTGTGTGACAACAATTAATTTAAAAGAGGTTATGACTTTGAAAAAGAACAAGGAAGGGTAGATGGACAGGTTTGGAGAAAGGAAATGATGTAATTATATTATATTATAATCTCATAAAATAATTTAAAAGTAAAAGAATATACTTTCTCTTAGGACTTAATACTAATTTCAGCAGCTGCTCAGAGTCCAGCAAATGCTACTCTCAGCCTAAAACAGAGAAACTTCTTTATATAATGAATTACAGTGAATAAAGCCATGCATGGCTGATCAGTGTGCTGAGAAAAGTGACAGTTGATGTTCGGCCCCAAACAGGACTCCAAGACTCAGGGAAAATCTAGGAAGAAGATCTTTGAGTTGAGAAGATACACTTTTAATCCAGATCTTTTGAGGTGGGAAAAATCCACCTTTAATCTGGGCCACCTTCTGCTGGCAGCCTATATAAGGACATGGAAGAAGGAAGCTTGCTCTCTCTCTTGCTAGAAAGTCCATTCCTTCACTGGTATAAGAGCCTACTTCTTTGGGATTCTGGTATATACAGAAGACTAGCTAAGACATTCAGGCTCGTAGACTGAACAACTACTGGATTCCATAGGTACATAGCCATTGTTGGACTAGCTGGACCACAGCCTGTAAGCCATTTTAATAAATAAATCCTGTGTGTGTGTGTGTGTGTGTGTGTGTGTGTGTGTGTGTGTGTGTGTACACATTCTCTAAGTTCTGTTCCTCTAGAGAACCCTGACTAATACGCCTATAACACAACTGATCCCAGTTAAACTCAGTGAGTCACAAAACAAAACAAAAAAACTTGAATGGCAGAAAGGGACTTGAAGAGAGGGGCAAAGTGCTTAAGGAGATCTAGGAAGGATGGAGGATGTAATCATAATATACTATATACATGTATGAACTCTGTCAAAGAACAAATTTAGTAAGTTATATAAGAACAAACAAAAACCCCAAGTGATCTGATAGTAACTGGCATTAATATATTCTTTAGGAATGGCTGTGAATTTGTCTCTCCTCTGTGTCTACACTGAAGGAGTACCTGCTGGACTCCAGCCACAATACTAAGAGGTGGGAAGACACAGACACAGTAAGATACAACTGCTCTCCCATATGAATGATCAACAACCAAGTAGGGAAGAGCACAGTGTATCAATGGCAACCAGAAGCACGTATAGGATACCAGGCTGGCATAGTGTGAGATAGGAATTTTATCAATTAGATTTCCTTTATTTCATATGACAAATTGATTTCTGAAAGTCATTTACAAATCTTGGTATTTTCTAAACAAAGTAAGTTTACATATGACAGAGAAGCTAGTACTCATAAAAGTTTTAAGTAATCTATTATAAGTAAATTTTTTTTTCTTTGTATTCTTAAGGTCACAAAAGGAGTTCAGACTAAAAGAAAAAACATACAGGAATAGTAAAACAAAACAAAACAAAAAACCTGTCTCCTACCACCTCAACCTGCTCTGTTCCCCCGGAGATAACTTTTAACATGTTTGGTTAATGCTGATCATTGAGAGCAACATGGCAACAAGCTTCAATGACACTGTGTGCATATGCATACATGTGCAGTGACACTGTGTGCATATGCATACATGTGCAGTGTGTGTGAGACATTTCAAAACCTGCTCGGCAGGAGATTTTAATAAGCATTTCTAAAGAAGAGGGGAAAGAAATTAGAAGGATAGAGTGGGTGTGTCAAAGCTCGAATGCAGGAAATCTGCGCTATAAAAAATACAAAAGCACACTGTGATTACTCTCAAATCCCCTAAAATTAGCCAACAAACCCTTTAATCATGGAATAGCAATTGACATCGTGAAAGACTCCAGATCGTTACAAAACAGTGTGGGAAGTTAGATGGTTCACTGGCAGCAACACATGCAATTGGACAATGGGCATATCCAGAAGCAGACACAGGCCATGTGAACTGCCCCCTGGCAGCAGACCTCGAAACCAAAGCTGCAGACTAAGTGTGTCAGTGCTGAGCCCGCTGTGGTTTCTGTGCTGCTGTCCCTGCGACCAAGAAATGGAAACATTCATCTGTAAAGCCTGATGCTAAACTAAATGCACTGGGTATATTTGCCTTTATCAAGTAAATACAATCAAAGTTCTCAAGAGAAAAAATTAAATTTGTTTTACAAAACCAAAAGGTATGGTGAAATATTTTGTGAGACAAATATAAGAATTGCTTATTATAAAAGAATCAGAAGTAAATAAAATTCCTAGGGAATTATATTTATAATGATTTCAGCTCCATATATATGCAAAAGTAGTGAATTTGGAAATACTTCTTTTTATGTTCAAATTCAAATCAAGATATCACTCAGCTCTGTGCAGTTGATCTTGCCAGTGAGGTTAGATGGGCCATTCTGCAGTCATAAATTCTACTTCCCAATATTTCTTCCTAGCTTTCTGCTGAAACGTTTAACTGGGAAGGAGAACGTGAGATGGTTTTCCTACTGAACTGATCCAAAGGTAGCTAAAGGAGCTGCTGTATGTCATGGGCAGAGGCTTCTTTGAATTCCACTGCAGAACAAAGAGCAAGTAAGTTGAGATGGAGAGAAGTCTAGCAGGAAGCAGGGCATGTGTAACTATCCCCCTGTTTATAAATGGCTCCCCACTTCTTTACATCCAGACCACAACTGTTTGTTCAATGTCGCATTCACACTTCCTCTACAAATCTTTCACCACTTCCTTATCCTAGTCCAAATGACTTCCCCTCCCCCTCAGCCTCTCACTTTACTCATAATCATACCTAATTTACTTTAGGCTACTTACCTTTGGACTAGACCATTTACTGAAAGATCTAAGGAACCTTAGATGGAGGAGTAAGATTTCTCACATCCTTGGGGAGGCCACATTGGAAGGCACAATGCTCACGTTAGCATTCAGCCAATACCTGATAATTTACTGGTACTGTTATTTAATGCTTTTTTTAGAAACAGTTAATCCTTGGGAGAAATTTGTGCTTTCTATTGTAAAAATGGTGAATTTGCTCATAGCTTGGGCAACATTCATAGGTTGTATCTGAAGCAATT